ATAGAAATTACTGACTTAACTGATGAAAAACCACAGACTAAATGAAATTACAACTACCAAAAAAAATACTCGATCACTAGACTAACATATCACCACTAGAGCAAGAACTTGATCAGCACAAAACGAATTATAGACCTTAAAATGGCTGTACAAAAACTACGGAAGTTTGTTTAGTTCTTATGTCGATCGTAGAAAAATGAGCTTTGATCTATATGTAATAGGATGATAAATGGATTCGGAAATCGGTGGATTCAGAATTGACCTAAGGTATTTTCAGACCTTAAAGAACATTGTTCTGTGTTGATGTAAAATTAAATTTGACATTTGCCGGTCAAAATCGATCAGACATAAATTTTGATTAACTATAATTTTTTTGATCAATTACAATCACTATTGAATATATTATATAGGGCAATAAATTTGAAATTTTTCAATGTCAGTAATTTCTATTTGTTTTTTGGTGTCTTTTTGGTTCAGGATTATGAATATTTGGTACCTGTATCATTAGTCACAGAATCCATACCAATTCTTCTTTAGAATGTGTTCTTGTGCAGTCTATGTAGTATTAACAGTCTTTGCATAGTCAGCTAAGTAATTGTTCTTTCTTATATGGACACATGCATCCCTTACATGGTGTCTCGAATAATTCTTGTCTGGTTGTTTGTGGAAATGTTTATTTGTTCTTCAAAGGTTTTTTTAGCATAAAAAGGTGTTGGTACATTTTCTAATACTTTAGATTGGATATTATCAAGTTCAGTTGACGCTTTTGCTGCTGGCAAAGGGACCTAAGTTTAAAAAACTTATATTTTACCACCAATAATACTAAGTTTATATTGCCAAAATTGAACAATTAATAATAATGTTTATTTAAATATAACATAGTAAAATGACTCTTAACAAATTTTAAAACATTCTTAGAATTTCGATTTGGTACGTACGTACAGTACCTCTTTTTTAACAAGTTAACCGTATGGTTCAATAGAAAGTGAAATATTTTGTTGCAAAAGTTTTATAAAATGAACGTTGGTGCTTTTCTAAAGCTGTCAATGATCGTAGTGAATTTTCGGTAGTGAAACATTACATTCTCAAAAGTATGTACATACTTTAAACCATATAAATGGGTTATCCAGGCAATTAATTTATTTCAGCCAATCAGACAAACTTTTGTTTATGAGATTATGAGAATAATCATGGCAATCAGGTGATTCGACATACGTAAAAGCTATTATGATTGTTTGTACGTTAGGCTGGCATGGTAACCCACGTGTGAGTTGAGTTGTTCTCACAAACAATCGTAATATTACTAGTTAATTTAATTCTGATCGTAGGTTTCTTGAAGTTTTTTTTTTTTTTTGCAATAACATAATAATTATAAAAAAAAAAAAACAAACTTACTCTTAAATAGGTAACAAAGTCATTGCAGAAAAATGTCGTGTATCATGTGTTCTCAAGTCTCATTAACTTTCTCGAAGATCTTATAGCGAAACTCATGTATATACGTTATACGAATATTATTAATCAATAATTAAATCCCAGTGCGTACAACGTTTCATGGTGTTTCATGCTGATTATATATTCATACTTACGTACTTATGTGTATATGTTATCTTCATCCTTTCAAAATGATAGAGCTACCGAACGAGTGCTTTTTCAAAATATTTAATAATTTCCGAGTTGATTATAGAAGTTTATATTCATGTCTTCTTGTAAACCGTAAATGGTGTAGGATTACTGTACCAATATTATGGAGTGAAATCGCTAGAAAATTTTGCAACAGAAAACTTATAAATACATGTCTTTTATCGTTAAATGCAGAAGAACAAGCATTATTAATTCCCTTTGAAATTATTCTTCCAAATTATCCGAAACCATTATTTGAATATGCAAGTTATACTACGTCTATTGACCAACTTTTGAATGTTGGAATTGTAAATTGGCTTGAATATAATGGTTATGAAATAGATTATATTGATTGTGCATTTGATGAACTTGCAATTGCTGTTAAAAATTCTTTAATTGCAATGTTTCTACGAACATGTAAAAAACTGAAATGCCTAAAAATCCGTGGATCTATTTATATGAAAATAATTAAGGATATTTGTAGAAGCAATACTATTACCTCTCTAGTCCTATATGAAAATGATTTTGATTCCGAAGGAATAAAAATGTTAATTGAAGCTATTAGCAAAAATAGTACTCTTACTTCTTTTTATTTAGATCCTAATTTTCGTCGTCAACTTAGTTCCGGAGAAGCGAAAGCACTAGAGAATATTCTTTGCAATAACATCAGTTTAGCTTGTTTAGGTCTTTGTCGTTATAAAATTGATATTGAATGTGGAAAAGCATTAGCAAAGGCGCTTTGTAAGAACGCCACTCTAACTTATTTAAATCTTCCTGATAACAGCATTAGTTCTGAGAATGGAAAGGCATTGGCAGAGACTCTTAGTATAAACACTACATTAAATTTTTTGAATCTTGAACATAATAATATTGGTAATGTAGGAGGAAAAGCAATTGCAGAGGCTCTATGCAAGAACACAACTTTAACTTATTTAGATCTCGAATATAATAATATTGGTAATGAAGGAGGAAAAGCATTTGCTGATGCTTTATTCAAGAATAATACTTTAATTTCTTTAAATCTTAATAATAATAACATTGGAAATGAAGGAGGAAAGGCTGATTATATGTCGTTTTATACAATTATTACACTTTTCTTGATTTGGTTCTTTGTTATACTTTATTTTTCTTCTTGAACAATGATTACAGGCTTCTGGTTTTGTTTTCCTTATTTTCGATATTCCTTTAACCTTTGTTTGTAGTGGTTCACTTTCTAGGCAAGCCTTTTTTCTTTTTGGTCTTCCTGCTTTTCTTGGTATATATTCGCACTTTTCCTTATTTTTTATTATACAACGTTTGCACTTTGTAAATCCTTTTTCTTTAATACACTTTACTTTATGGTTTAAACAATTTCTACAATTCTTGTTTATCAATCCTCGGGTTTTTGGTTGTTCTGGTCGAGGTTGTTTAGTGTAGTCACATTCCAAGTTGTTGTTTATACAGCGTTCGCACTTTGTAAATCCTTCGTATTTTTTATAACTCGTTTTTATACTATTACAGTTTCGACAATTTTGGTTCATATACTTTTTCTTCGAAAGATAATATCTTTTCTTTGAAGGTTTACTATTTCGTTTACTTTTTCAGTTAGGTCGTCAAGTAATTGTTGTATTCTTTGTTC